TCATGTTGATATCTCTTATGGTTTTAGAGATATGTTCCGGACAGAGTTCAAAGTGAAAAAATAAACAAAGGGCAATAATTCCAAAATTAGGCAAGGCAGAGTTATAGCTCTTTTGCACTGCACTTATATTTAATGAGATTTATTTGCCTATAAAGTTTCATGTTGATATCTCTTAAATTTTAGAGCTATGTCCCGAGCAATGTTCAAAGTGTAAATATTAACAAAGGCCAATATCTCCATGGTTCATTAGTCCTGCACTTCCACACAATGAGATATATCTACTTACAACTTTTCATGTTGACATATCTTATAGTTTTAGAGTTATGTCTAGGACAAAGTTCAATGTGTAAAAATGAACAAAGGGCAATTACTCCAAAATTAGACAAGAAAGAGTAATTGTTCTTTAGCACTGCACTTTTACACAATGAGATCTATCTACCTACAAAGTTTCATGTTGATATCGCTTATAGTTTTAGTTATGTCTCGGACAAAGTTCAAAGTGAAAAAAATACCAAAGGGAAATAACTCCAAAAAAAGGCAAGACAGAGTTATGCTTCTTTTGCACTGCACTTCTACACAACGAGCTTTATCATGTTGATATCTCTTATAGTTTTAGAGTTATGTCCCGGACAAAGTTCAAAGTGTAAAAATAAACAAAGGGTAATAATTCTACATTTAGGCAAGACAGAGTTACAGTTCTTTAGCACTGCACATCAACACAATGAGGTCTATCTACCTACAAAGTTTCACTTTGATATCTCTTATAGTTTTAGAGTTATGTCTCGGACAAAGTTCAAAGTGTAAAAATAAACAAAGGGTAATAATTCTAAACTTAGGCAAGGCAGAGTTACGGTTCTTGTGCACTGTACATCTACACAATGAGATCTATCTACCTACACAGTTTCATGTTGATATCTCTTATAGTTTTAGAGTTATGTCCCGGACAAAGTTCAAAGTGTAAAAATAAACAATGAGCAATAAATTCCAAAATTAGGCAAGGCAGAGTTACGGTTCTAGTGCACTGCACATCTAATCAATAAGATTTATCTACCTACAAAAAATCATGTCGATACCTCTTGTTGTTTCAAACTTATGTCCTGGACAAGAATAGCGGACGGACGGACAAAGCGGCGACTATATGCTCACCCTTCGGGGAGCATAAACCTAAAGTCCCCTCCGGTTAAACCGTTAGGGGACTAATAATCCGATATTTTTTTTAATTATACATATAATTTCCTGTAGCGGTTTAGACCACATATAAGACAAACATAAATACATTTTTTATCTAATTGAATTCAGATGGCATATTTAAAATGGTACTGTGATTTTATCTGTACAGACTTTGAAGAAATTTCACTTCACCTTGATTAAGCAAATACTTACATCAAATAACACGGAAAGAAAACAAAAGATATTATACCGTAGTAAGTTATAATGCTGATATACTGACAGATATACAGCTTCAGATATTCAAGTGATAGATTAATTAGTCCAAAATCAACTTTTCTTGCATAAATAAGTTCTATATTTTGGATTCAATGTTCATCAATCGGTAAAATATTATTGTGTGGCGTTTACAATGGCCATTTCCCCTTATCTCAATTATTTCCCTTTGATGAACTTTTACATACTGTCAGAGTAAACTGCCGTGGAGTGAAGAACAACAAAGAACAGGTATAAATCTGAGATAGACAGGAATATATGTATAAGTTTCGGATTTAAGCTGTACAGAAATAAGGTTCATTTTTGTGTCTACACCGTTCAGAAAATAATGTTTTACACCGCTTTGTGCGAAACTGTTCATGTGGTCTACACCGCTGAAGATTTGAAAAATACATGTTTTGAGTACTTACACACATATTTCACAAAAACAACTTCAACCAACGTAAATAATGAATACAACAAATTACATCGAAAACATGAGTTTATTTAACAAGTTACACCTAAAAAACAATGCGAGATCCTCGATTCATTTGTCAATTTTACCATTTGGCAATGTTTAGTGCAAGATATCTCAAAACATAATTACAATGGAATATTTCTACATGGTACCGAGGAACTATGTAAGGCCAGATAAAAAATGTTAAGAGTTGAGAAAAATGTGTCACCTACCTTACCCACTATGACAGTACGACATCTTGGAAGTGTCTACACATTAATATCTTATGACAAAAACAGTGTGTGTTTGTGTGTGTGGGCTAGTTTACCCTACTTGGCGAGGTGAATGTGTTGTTTTACCAATACAAAGTGAGGTTACACCTACATTGTGAAGTATACCTAGGAACTTTAAACTTCATTCCGTGAGTCGAGCCGACATTCGGTTTAGTTTTGGGTTAGGGACGCATACGAGTAAGTTAAGGGTAAGGGTTAAAGCTAGGGTTAGAGTTAGAAGTTAGTTGAACAAAGAACAAATACCTCATATTGTTATAAAAACAGTGTGTGTGTGTGTGTGTGTGTGTGTGTGCGTGTGTGTGTGTGTGTGTGTGTGCGCGCGCGAGAGAGTGTGTGTGAGCGTGTGTGTGTGTGTGTTTAAAGTATTGTAATCGATTAAGGTAAATGAATTCAAAGACTCGTAACTCACATTTATTAGACTGAGAACATTCAGAGAGTTAAATGAGGGATAGATGATTTGTGAACATTATGTTTCTTAGTATTCAGTTGATAGCAGGTGATATATTAGACATTTAACAGAAATTCCAGCCGACATTTTTAGCGTTGATTAGGGTTATAAGAATCGACACTATCGCGCACTTGCTGAATCCAACAGAAATATTTTTGTAACGACAGGCAGGTAAAATACCCTTTTCTAAATTAGCGCATCAAATAATGGCTACAGTACTGTACCTGTGATAACTGTAAAAGCAGTTAACAGTTACAGTTTTAATTCATAGTAAAGGACTGAAAACAAGATATAGGCCAGTATTCAGAAACGGTACTTAATCTCAATCTCGACTCAAACTCGCGAAAGCTAGGTCGCCTCAAGTAACGCTGGAGTAGACTTACGGTAAGTAACTCACAATGTGCATAGTGGTGGTATTCGTTTTGTTTACTCAACCTTACCTCTTGTTAGGGAGACTTCAAAAGTTGACTGATCGGTTTTATTGCATAACATCACTCAATATACATTGTAAAAGTGTAATAATGTCGTTTAAAGGAGTGTATTTTAACGAAGTGGAACAATTTTGTTAAAGAATTAATTATTAAAAATCTTAATTTAAAAGAAAAAAAAACGATTTAAAATAATTATACGTGTGTTCTATAAAACAAAAGCATGAGGAGACATTTAAAGAGTATTTAAAAGTTTTCAAGTATTAAATGCCAAAATAGCAAAATAATGTTGGAAAACCTGAAAGTCATGACGAAAAAAGAAGCTAAAGAAAGTAGTGAAAGGCTTATGACAGGCATTTAGAACTGAAAAAAAGAAACATTTCAATAGCTTTAACTTTATTTTGAAAGAAGCATCCAATTTTTTATGTCATTGATATTTTTTTTTGCAATACACACTTATGTTTCCCTTTTTTAATGATCTTATGATTTTAAAGGCCCTTTATGGCTCAGAAATTCTATCTATTTTATTTCTCAAAATTTCAACTTTTGTAAAGGGTATAATCATATTGCATTATCATTTTATATTGAAGTCAAAATACTACATTCTTTACATTTTTCTACTATCATAACACAATACTGCACGTTCAGTGCAACTTTAAATAGTTTTTAATTTAAAAAAAAAAAATTAAAATAGAAAGAGAAGCATGCTTTTAACAAGACTGTTGTTGGTATTTGCAAAATATAATCCTAATCTTTTTAATTTCTTGAATCAAATTCAATGATTTTGTACATAAGTCCCCCCCCCCAAAAAAAAAAAAACAAACAAAAACAACAACAACAAACAAACAAAACGACCCTGTTTGATTGTGATGCTGGAATACCTAACGACTGAAGCGGTAAATCATTTTCAGCTGTTATTAAAGTTACAAACTGGATGTAAGTAATGAAACACCATACTCGTTTAGTAAAGTGTATTTTACATAAATCATGCTAAACAAATGTTCAAGATATTTTTTTCTACGTGGATTTTGATTGTTGATTTTGGAATTTGAATGCTCAGACGTCAATGCTAACTTTATGCCATGGTTATTCATGACGCCATGAAGATATTTTTCTGTCATTTTCCTTTGAAATTGAATTGGGGATTCAAACAGTGTGATATAACGTGTATCTAACTGTTATACATATGCCTATATTTAGAAGCATACGACAAATCATCCAGAATCATCGATGGTCACATTGACAAACACAGGAACAGTCATTTTCATGGATAAAAGGAAATTCAAGAAATTACCAATTTGAAATCATATAAATTCATTTCTTTTTGGCATAAGTACTGGTATCCCGCGAGCTGAATACCCTCTAAATAGTTCATACTAGTTGCGTCATACTGGGTACACCTCTTTGAAAAACATTTTTTTGATAAAATTACACTTCTGACATTAATTAATGGGATCATCTCTATTCCTAAGTATCTGTTTTTCAACATTTTTTTTCTAAAATACTGTCAGTTCGCGTATTTGATGCACTTTAATGTATATGGGACGAATAAGATTCAAAATCAATACTCAAAACTAAGTGGTATTCAGTATTTTTTTTATTGAGGACACCTCAAGGTAGCCCCTTCCTAATCTCACAGATTCTCAACTTATCTGAGTTCACTCGCCACTTACTTTATAACCTGAATACCACTTTATTGAAGGTGAGGACAGTCTTGACCGTTAGGCAATTATATGGGATTTACTCATTGAGTGTGAGTGTAAGTATCGATTCTGAATACGGGCCATAGTGTTTTTCCTGAGTGCTTCCACTGGAACTGGGACCACAAATTACTTGAAAACCAGTTTTTACATATCAAAACATAAACCGAGTAAGTCGGAAACATCACTTGTCATCTCACAGTGCCTGTTAAAAAAGCGAGAGTGATATATAAGGTTAAATTTTGGACTTACCATATATCCAGCATACTGCGATGAGTTCACAAAAGCATATAACCATCAGATTGTAAGAGCCAGAATACCAGTCAAATAATGTCAACACAAGAATGCCGCCCTGAAATATAAAATGTTCAGTATAATTATCTAAACAGCTCTATCACATGTTATAGGGATCTTTTCGATCAGAGTAATTGGAGCTATATTCGCACAATTGCCCCCTATAGACATCCAGAAGTCGGCAGATGAGGGTTTTTTCCAAGCTAATCTGTAGGTACAAACTATCCTTAACCTTTACAGTTTTATGGTGGACTACCCGCAACAATAGATAAGTCAACCTGTTACCATATTTTCGAAGCTGTAACTGTAAAAATTTGTTTGTACCTACAGATTAGCTGGGAGTAAACCAAATATTCTTAATTCCGAAGTAAGTCTATTAATTACGATGCACTATACGGCAAAAAGCATACGCCTTTGACCTCAGGCTAATATGAATAATAAAGCCATTGAAAACACTTAATTATTAATATTATAGTATTATGGTGAAAAAGGTAAAATATAAGATAAAAAGATCAACAAGGAAGAGCGACGTTCACAGAATGCAGCCTCCAACAAAATCCAGTCACACTAGACCACCTGATATGCACCAAGTAGGGCACTAACAAAAAGCAGGAGGGGTCATAAAAGGTGGGACATGGCGTGGTCGTACCAATAAATGATAATAATTGACAACTAAATAAGGAAAGACTTAAAAATGTCAAAGCCGTAATAAAAAATAAACAGTAAAAAATCACAATTGTCTAAAATTTTCAATGAAATATCTGTGATTACAAAATATGATCTTTGTTGAACATTTTTGCAGTTTTATATTTGATTCAAAAATAATAGGAATAAGTTAGCAACCAAAATTACTTGAAGTTTGCAATCAAAATGCGCTTTGACAAGATATTTTTGTGTAATGGAACTTATTAATATTAGCATCTCATGTCAAATTTATCTCATTCAAGCTGCATGTATATTCAATCTGATTAAAATCAGCTCTAAATAACGCTCCGCATTTAGATCTGACCATCACCAAATACGGAGACGCTTCTCGGGACTTTTCAAACGGCCAATCATGGCGAGCTTTCATAATTTTGAAAGCGATTCTGTTTTTAATTTTAAACGCTGGAAAACCAATATCGTGAAGATTTCAAGATATTACGCTGAAACAAACATGCCGTCGTCCATGAACATAATTATCTAACGACTTTTATGTTTGCCCTAGTTTTATAATAGTAAATATAAAGTGACTGAAACAAGCACATGTAAGCCTGAAATATCCTCAGGTGGTGACCGGGTTTTAAACTCCGGACCTCTAGAACTCAACCACGTCGCAAAAGGGTAAACCGATTACCCAACAGCATGGCTGTTAGAAATGGCCTACACCTGTAGTCACTGCACTTTCAACAATAGAATTACCACTTTCTAATGCCTATTTGTAACGGACGATTTAATTGGATTGCTAAAATTAGCAAACTCTGGAAATCCGAATCTGAAAGAAGGGTGGATATCAGATCTACATGGATCCGGGCTTAAGTCAGATTGCAAGTATATTCTACCGTATATCCCGTCACTAATAATATACTTATAAATTTTTGTTAGCCGCTGAAAACAATAAAAGGAAACAAACAGGAACGTTTAACTTGTATATTGTTTATTAATATTATAATTATTATTATGATTAATCATTTAAATTATATGAAGAATCTATTCACACTGGTTTTAAAAATAACATAATTATTGATTTGAGCATACAGTGACTTAATGCATTTGATAGGAAAACGTTATAGTATAAAATAAATAGTTATGGTAGTAAGAAATAGTGTAAACCTTTGTTGACATAGGAATGCCGAGAGCAAAACCAATCATACAACATATGAATGTAAACAGAGCTTTCTTCCTGCGGAGTAATTGAGGATAAAGATCTGTGATACCACTGATGACCGTCTCCATCATAACCATCTAAAATAGAACATATTAACTTCTATAATACTTACGAAACAAAAATTGAGTCAAGATGACAATCCTGGAAAAAACTAATGATTGGCCACTTGGTAACTTCTTCTGGATTTTTGTGAAGGATCTTCATATTAAACACGGTGTATGTATGTATGTATGTATGTATGTATGTATGTATGTATGTATGTATGTATGTATGTATGTATGTATGTATGTATGTATGTATGTATGTATGTATGTATGTATGTATGTATGTATGTATGTATGTATGTATGTATGTATGTATGTATGTATGTATGTATGTATGTATGTATGTATGTATGTATGTATGTATGTATGTATGTATGTATGTATGTATGTATGTATGTATGTATGTATGTATGTATGTATGTATGTATGTATGTATGTATGTATGTATGTATGTATGTTTGTATGTATGTATGTATGTATGTATGTATGTATGTATGTATGTATGTATGTATGTATGTATGTATGTATGTATGTATGTATGTATGTATGTATGTATGTATGTATGTATGTATGTATGTATGTATGTATGTATGTATGTATGTATGTATGTATGTATGTATGTATGTATGTATGTATGTATGTATGTATGTATGTATGTATGTATGTATGTATGTATGTATGTATGTATGTATGTATGTATGTATGTATGTATGTATGTATGTATTGTATGTATGTATGTATGTATGTATGTATGTATGTATGTATGTATGTATGTATGTATGTATGTATGTATGTATGTATGTATGTATGTATGTATGTATGTATGTATGTATGTATGTATGTATGTATGTATGTATGTATGTATGTATGTATGTATGTATGTATGTATGTAGTTTATGCTTAATGAGGGTCCATCCGCCCGTAAGGGCACAAAATGCAGCTTTCGTGTCGAGTACGGACCCCGGACATGTCACCAATCATGCCCTTAAAGAGTTAATTTTGAAGCACAAAGTGGTGACAATTTACATCCATGCCATTTCCACTGAGTATTAGCCAAAGATATGAATTTTGAGCCAAAAATAGGTCACTGTACGGCGGTCAAAAAGAATCTAAATGTACAGTAACCTGAGACAATATGAAATTGTAGCCCTGAAAAGGGTTGTTGGTGCCATCAAAAGGCCTGCCGTTCAAGCCGTCTAATCGTGCTAGGGGCTCACGCACCCTAGCACACCATCCTCGTCGACCCGAAGCCTTCTTTGTAGGGAGTGCCCCTGGGCTTTAGTCAGGACATCGGCAGCTGGTACGCAGCACGAGTTCCGATCTTGTTTACCGTCCCCAGTCTTCAAATCATCTGCCGATGCCCTGTGTCTTCTCTACAACGTACACGTACCAAGGGGAAGAAATACGGTTAAAAGAAAATTACTGTTTAGGTGGTATTTTTTTGTAAAAATGTTCCAATGTGTTCTTTCCCTTGATTAAGAAAGTTTCACATCAATGCCTACATTTAATATTAATTTCAATTCAGGGGAGCGGTAGCCTAGTGGTTAAGGTGTCTCTCAACCCAGAGATCATGGGTTCGAGCATCTAGGTTAAGGTGTCTGCCTCTCAACCCAGAGATAATGGGTTCGAGCCCTACTCGGGTCACGACCATGTTTCTGCATATGACACCAGTACTGGTTGGTTCCAGGAAGCGGACTCGAAAGTGATTAATATAAGTTGCAAGAACTTGTTTCGCAATCGAGCTTAAATAGATATGTTTAAACCAATTCAGTAATGCAGACAATGTAAATCACATTTAACCTTAGTACTCAATCGTAAAGTAACTTACAAATATACAAAGAACTCCGTTGAAAATGGAGGACATATCTTGTCTATAGTCAAAAGGACAAATTTTTGCCTCAACACATGGCCTGAATAGAAGAATGGCCATTGAAGGATAGATGATTTTTTAAGGGACGGATGTGCCCGAGAAAAAATAAAACATTTTAAAGCAAAATGCAAAATATAACTTTCTAACAATTTTATCATAAATCACAAAATAAACGTTCAACCAACTTTTATCTGAAGGTAAAGCTATAGAGGATATTCAAGTTTCTTCTATAAATACAGTATTTCTTTGCATCGAGTGGTATGAAATAAATTTTCATACCACAAGAAAAAACATAAATTTTCTGTTAATTATATACTTTTTCTTTTTTAACCTTATGCATAGGAAGAATTCCGTTTTTATTCTGTGTATTGGCTGAATTTAGAAGAAAGTAGTCCGGCAAGACACCAGTGAAAATACGGAAAATATGTTTCACTGCAGTTAAAAGAATTACAGTGAAAATACGGAAAATAAAAATACACATTTTTTTCATCGATATTTCTCAATTTTTCATTTATATAGTATATAATAAAAGTATATAATAAAAAGATTTTTTTAAAGATATATCGATACCATATGTATTTAGAACACACTGAAATAATAAATATTTTTGTAATAAGATGAATATAGACAGAAATGACCTAGAGGGGGGTAGATATGATTAATCTATAGAAAGCTTCGTGTCTTACCTGACTGTCGAGTCCGAGAGTGATGATCATGAAAAAGAAAAGGAACGCCCATAATGATGAGACTGGAAGTCTCGCAATGCCCTCTGGGTATGCTACGAATGCCAGTCCGGGGCCTACAAAGTGTAAAACGTTTCAACAAAATGTTTTCAAAAGTGCATATTTAAAAAAAGCGATGACGATATACAGAAAAACATATAAAATAAGAGGTAGTGAACCAGAAATGATAAAGCACAAATTTAATAGAAACACACGTGATGTTATTGATTCATTGGAACAAACTAATTTCTAAAAAAAAAAGAAAAAGAAAAAGTCATTTTAATAATAAACACAACAGCGTACATGTATGTATTAATTCTCCAAGTCGAAGTAAACATTATTGCCATGTTCTATTCCTAAACATATAAGAAATATCATATTTGTTCCAGTTGTATTGCTATTATTTACCTTGCTAAGATAAATTGACAGCAATTAAATAAATTTCTAAAATTGCCATACTTTTCAAAAACAGAAAACATTAAATAGTTTGTTACTGGATAATGCTAAAACAGACGTTCTAGTGATTCTATTTTTATAAAAAAAAAACTGAAGTTTTATTTTCAAAAGTTATCAACCTGTTTCTATTATTCTATAAATAATTCTTCACTCAAACCACAGAACGTTTGGATCTTATAAAAATTAATTTAGTTATCATTAAATTCATTTAAATTTTAAAATTATCCGTCTGTTTTCAAATGATCTGTTTTTTAAATGATCGCCAACCAGGTTTTACAGAACATAGGTTGATTGCCTGTACATTATAATAAAATGATAAATAAATGGAATGTTATATCGTCGCTTTGACTAGAGCAGCTGTGACAAATGGAATGTTATATCGTCGCTTTGATTAGAGCAGCTGTGACAAATGGAATGTTATATCGTCGCTTTGATTAGAGAATGCTTGTGCAAGTATGTTAACTCTACTTTATTCCATATGGAAGATGAAATCGCGATTGTTTTTTCAACAGTCTAGATTCAATTCAATTAGTGTTTCTACAGAAGTAAGAGGTGCCGAGCCCGAGTGGTTAAGGTCGTTGACTTTAAACCACTTGCAACTCGCCGCTGTTGGTTCGAATCCCGACAGGGACTTAGGATTATAAGCTTCCTTACGCAGCGTCGGTGGTTCTACTCAGGTATTAGTGCGACATAAAACCGGATCAAAAAAATATTTCCACATTAAACTCAAGTTCGTTGACATTAAACTCGAGTTCACTGACATGAAACTCAATTTCTATCACTTTGATTCTTCTAAATAATATAAGAGTATCATATCCAACGTGCGCTTACCGCTGTCAGCAACATCAGCCACATCCTGGTTGGTCACATGAGCCATGTAACCAAGTAGAGAGAAGATGGCGAAACCACCGAACACACTCGTGCCACAGTTGATAAATGCAACAATCACAGAGTCCCTGAAATTTTTAGATTTTACTTTTTTGCATTACAATATTATCATAGTACTACATACATGACGCATCAGGTATTGTTCTAAATACATAAAACTTGTATGTATGTATGTATGTATGTATAATGTATGTTTATGTATGTATGTATGTATGTATGTATGTATGCATGTATACATGTATGCATGTATAATGTATGAAGCGGTGGATAAAATATGGCCGTTAAATCAAAACATAATATTGAGTTAGACGATTTTTTAAAATATTTTTCACAACTTGGTAATGATATATTTCAAGCGAGAAATGAGGAAGCAGAACGCTTTACTTCGGATAATGATTTTAATGACTTAAATGGGTCAGATGAGATTTTGGATAAACCCATTTCTGTAAATGAAATAATTGAGTCTGTTAAGACGTTAAAGAGAGATAAATCTCCTGGTATTGATTTGTTATTGAAATGAATATTTTTTAAAGCTATTTATATATTGTCATCTCATATATGTGATATTTTTTAATTATATCCTTGATAGTGGACATTTTTCCTGATATGTGGACTGAAGGCGTTATTGTTCCGTTACATAAAAAAGGCGATAAAAATGACGTAAATAATTACCGGGGAATCACGCTTGGGTGTAAGTTGTTTGTCGAAATTATTTACATCAATTTTGAATAAAAGGATTATGACTTATTGTAATGAAAATAATATTATATCTGATGCGCAGTTTGGATTTAGAAAAGGAAAATCGACAGTTGATGCTTTGTTTATCCTGTTAACATTAGTTCAGAAGTATTTAAATGAAAATAAACGCCTTTTATTGTGTTTTATTTGATTTTAAAAAAAATGTTTTTGACAGTATATATAGAAATGCCCTATGGTTAAAGCTTTATAAAAGTGGAATTAGAGGTAAAAATGCTACGTATTGTTAAAAGTATGTATGAAAAAAGTTAAGTCTTGTGTAAGGTTGTGTAATACCTATTCTGACTTTTTTGAATACGCTGTAGGCTTTAAGGCAAGGGGAGGTAATTTCGCCCATATTATTTTTCTCTGTTTGTAGAAGACTTAGAGTTATATCTACAACAGAATACAGACTCTGGTCTTACCATTGATAACATTATACTTATTTTTGCTGTTGTTTGCTGATGATATGATTATTCTGGGTGAATCGCCAGATGAGGTAAATCAATCATTAAAGCTTTTTATGTACTTATTGTGAAAACTTGGAGTCTAGAAGTAAATACCGATTGAAAAACAAAAGTTGTTGTACTTTAGGAGGCGTGGTGGTTTATTAAGTAATGAAGAATTTTTTTATCCAATGGTATAAGAACTTGAAATTTTTGGATAATTTTAACTATTTGGGTACAATTTTTAAATTATACAGGTAGTTTTGGTTTCTAAATCAAGAGCATTTTAGTGGTAAAAAGCATTTGGGGAAAGCCTTAAATTTGTTACTTATTAATTGTCACAAATATAGATTAAAGCCTAAAATTAATTTGTCAATTATTTGGATTCATTTGTTGTTCTATTTGAATTATGCATCAGAAATATGGGGATTCAGTAAATCTAAGGAAATTGAAAGAATTCATCTCAAAATTTTGTAAAAAAATTATTAAAGGTTAAAACGACGACATGTTTCAACGGCTGTTATATGGTGAACTTGCTAACGATATCCACTTTATATTTATGAGATATGTAAAAATTCATTAAATATTGGTTTTTAACTGAACTAAAACAGATTAATATATATTAAAACATGCGTATGCAGAATTGCATATGAATGATTGTTTATTTGGGAAAGAAAAAACTGGCTGTCAAAATGTGAAAAAAATTATTGTATGATTTATGGTTTTGCATATGTGTGGGGATCATCGCCTGAAACTGTTTGTGAAAAGACTTTTATATTATGTTTTTAAACAACGGATTATCGATAATTTTGTTCAAGGGGTGGCAATGTAAATGTAAAGAAAACAGTCCTGTTTTAGAAGTATTGATAATCATGTTCAAAAGTAATTTTTGAGTACGAAAAATACTTGGATATTTTGGCCTTGCAATTTTAAGATGTTATTCTAATTCAAAATTAAGGTTATCCTTCACATTCTTTTGAAAATTCCAAAACGGGTCGGATACAGTACACAAAGAATTCGATAGAAATTGCAACGTTATTGTATATACTGTAATAAGCACGACATTGAGGACGAGTATCATTTTATTTTGATTTGCCCAATGTTTATTTTGATTAAGGAAAAATTATATAAAAAAAGTGATTATTATTAAAACCCAAGCTGGGTTTTAAATTTGTAGAACTATTCATAAAAATGATAAAGAACAATTTAAAAATTTAGCTCTTTATATTAAAAGTGCTTTGACTTTAAAGAGCATCTGCTACACTATTTAATCCATCCTCTTAATAAAACGAAAAATTATCTTAAAGTATCATGATTATTTTGTATTGTAATTTTATTTAAAAGTAAAATGTGTAAATGGAAAGTATGGTTTTATTCGATTTTTATAATTATCCTGGGTTTTTTTCATTGATGTATTATATTTTCATGTAAAAGTATTAATTTTATAAATATGTTTTCGATGATGTATTATGGTAAAAATTTAAAAAAAATAAATGTCTTTCTTTTTTGTTCTGTTAACGTTTTAATTTATGCTGTTTTTTTTTTTTTTTTTTAATTTTTACTGGAAACTTAGTGAGACTGGAGCCCACATATGTACTATTTCAACTTATTACACGCACACGGTTGCCGTTTATGCAAACACTTTTCTGTACAGTTTGACGAGGGGACGCCACTTTTGCCTAATTTTGGTTTAAACATGTACAAATGTGTGCAAACGACCCCATTACGGAACCATAATTTGGAAATTTGGGAAATTCTTAATGCCTGTTTATAAAATATATGACAAAAATGTTTTCAACGCAGACGGCAGTGGATTCGATTGAAACGCAGTGCAGTGGGCCCGATACCATTTAAGTATATTTTGAGGGTTTAACTTGACGTAACGCACTTTTTAATAGAATACAACCCTTTCCTTACTTTGACATCTGAGAAACGTGTTTTATGATGCTTAAAACGATATTAATTATATATATATGCTTGTACAACATGATGTCCGATGTCCGACAACAGTAAACGGCCATATTTTATCCACCGCTTCTACGACGAATACTCCGTCGCCGCTGCGATAGACCCACCGTTTCTGCGAAAGCTATGGCCAGTGTGATGTATGTTTAAGTACTTTATATGTATGTAATTTATTATTTCTAACCTCCAACAGTTGTTCTTGAAGTTGTTAAAACTGGACATGGTGAGTAAACCTCCGAATGCTGGGCCAAGTGAGTAGAATATCTGTGTCGCTGCGTCTGACCACACCTTATCAAAATAAAATAAAACATCATCAAGTACTTGTATCTATTTTAAGACCAGTAATCTTTTAAAGGGAATAAATACATATTATACATATGTTTATACATTGGTTTTGAACAGATTATTTGCACTTTTGCGACCTAACCCTTTCACTACCATAGGGACGACATATGCCGTCCCTATTATTTTCGGCGTATTTGCCATATGGACGGCTTTTGCCGTTTCTATAATAATAATAATAATAATAATTATAATAATTATAATAATAATCATAATAATAAATATACAAAAATGTATAGCTAATTATACCATCGACAATAATTATTATATACTAGCAGATTTGGAAACATATATAATTATTATAATACTAATAACAAATGATAATAATTTATAATTAATAATATAGTTATTTCTTAGAAAACCTTCTGGCAAATAGGTGATCAATAAATAAATAACCCTCTGGCAGCGAAAGGGCTAAAGATTATACTATGCTCAAATTTTATTTTTAAAAATATTAATAATTGCTACACAGTCTCTTTGTATGTATAAAATAAACATGTTTGGAATTCATTTAAGGTAGATATGTTATGTTTTGATTTCTACACACTATATGTGGTCACCATATGAATATATAGTGTCATTAAAAAAACTGGCAGTTTTTTTTTTAGAAAAGACCAATTTTACTTGACCCGTAAGGTAATAGGGAATGCAGCTTCCCATACATAGTTTATTCATTATTTTATTCAAATTAAACATATTCAGTAAGAATTTCATGGATTTCAATGCATTTCTAGGATAAAATTATTTTACCAAAAGATGAACTTAGTATATCTTTAAAATAGTGAATGACTGTTCCTTTTCATACAATCAGTTTTATCGGTAAATTAACAAATGTTTTCAACCTGGTTAAATGAATCTGTTTATATACATATCAATATAATAAAACAAGACGATGTACAAATGAATTTCTACATGTATAATAACAGAATCGATACTGGCAAATACATACGACAAATTCACCACTGGAGTGAAAGCCATCTATCTGGCACTGCTGTAATTTTTTTATAAATTCTCTATTGCTTCAATGACTTGACTGTAAGCTTAATATTGGTAAGATATATTATTGTTGAACTCCATTCAAACACGAAAAAAATACCTTTGGATCCTTCAGCCTCTCCCATTCAGGGATGATGTAAAATTTGATTCCTTCTTTGTAACCCTCTAACGTAAGTCCCCGTACAAGAAGGACAATCAGCAGAACGTATGGGAACGTTGCTGTGAAATATACCACCTGAAAATCGACAGATAATAAGGATGACTTTAGTGTTTTTAAGGTTATATGTAATTTACTTTTCTCGCCAACAGGTATATGTAGGTCGAGGACATCCTAAACTTTATTGTAAAATGAATCTATGCATAAAATATGAATTGTAAAACAAAGCTTATAAGTTATGAAGTGATTACTATGGACCTATCTTATGAGAGACAAAACCATTTTGATAGACAAGTAGATTTTAACTTAATTTTAATACATCGGGCGAAAATTTGAAAGGAAGTTTTAAACACGGCGGTATAAAAAGTCTATTAAGTGCATTACCTGTTCTTTCATATTTTGACAGAAAACGGGGTACACTGTTCCTATTATAGTATATTTATCATAAAAATTTCCATCATGTTGACATGTACATTGATCAAGGTTATATAGAACCCAGGATGATTGTCAATAGTTAACAATTGGTTATAGAATATTGAATAAGAAAATATCTCATTTACATTTGTTTTTAAAAGTTTTTAAAACCATGTAATCCCATTCCAAATTATTTTTACTATATTTTTCCTGATTTCTGGAATTGTCAAATAAAGAGCGCTTGTCTCGGAGCACATTTGTCACACGAGGTGTGATTGATGTGCTCGTAAACATTCATATTTGTGACAAATTGGAAATTAGACAGACGTGTTCGACACACAATAGAAAGGACAATCAAAGCAACTTTGTCCCACATTCTGCCATAAAATTCTAAAAAGGTAATATGCCCGTCCGTATACCGGCTACCAGCCATTGTTCTGTGTTTTCTGTATTTTAACAATCGGAACATGTTCGGCTAATATCTATAATAACCTCGAAGTTAATACGGATTGATGTAAACAGAAACAGAGAGTGTAACGAATGTATATTTTTTGACATCTAAAGGAAAATAAAGTTTGTCTCAGTTCAATTATGAAAATATGTCTGAGAACCATTTTTAATTTATATACGCCCACTGATGTACAATGTTAAACAAATCCGACTGAATGTCAACAGGTTGGCATTTTGTACTTTCGGTTTCTACAACCATAGTAATATATATATAATTACATTTAATGTATTGGTTGCTTTGTATCTATGGATTCACTTATTTTAGGTGGACTTTTACTTGATATATTGGAAATAAACTTGTAAACAACTCCCAGCATTAAGTTACTGTTTGTTTACATAGGTAAGACCGAAATTCCGTTGCCGTCCTGTGTAGTCATACTATTGTTTTCGAGGTCCTTATTCGAAGATTGACGGAAAGGGCCGAAAAGTTGCCCTTGTATTTATCATACCGTTTTTAGGTCACTTCCGGTCAATCAAAAACGTCCTGCCTCTGCATAGATGTCATATATTAACTTAAAGAATATCATTGTTCAGCATGTCACAATGGAAATTTCTAACAGTGCAGTTTCAAGAACCCAAACACATAATTATGCAGAGAGTGCATATCGTTATCAATTGTGACACACTTCTTTCCGATGCTTAAAGTTTTATAAATGATTAAGAAATATTCTAATCAACAACAAGGAAGTATCTACGGTGGCATAAAGGGTGCACATGATTATCTTATCTATTACGTGCACATGCGTTAGCTATTACTTGGCCACCCAATACTATTACGTACGCACGCGATAGCTATTACGTTCTAAAGGGGTAGTTATTACGTAATAGTTATCACGTGGGCACGCGGATGGGTTTCCTCGCATGAAAAGTTCGACGCCCCGAACTACAGCGGTTAGGGGCAAGTGGTTTTTTGAAATCACTCGGTCACGGTGGCCCCTAAATGATCTAAGGAAAAAAAATGAGAAGACCATCCCACACGTATTTTGTTTTCTTCAGAAATATATATAAAAATATCGCCATTTTCCGAGAATTGCTGCTTTCAACTCTGCTACTGAAAAAGCACTTACAACGTGGAGGAGTTCCTTAAAGGTAATGTCATGATTATGGAATTTCGGTCCTTGCAGCATCGGGCGAGACGCGACATTCCGGCGAGACACGATACTGTAACACGAGATCTCGCAATGTCGAAGTATTCCGTACCACGAGATTTCACGGTAGAATATCGTGCCTCGATTCATGTTTTGTCGGGAATTTGCTTTTTGTGTCTCTCGGTAAAATATCTCACACCGCTTCGTGTCTGCGCTTCTCAAAGGCCTTACTATGGTAAAGGAACCATCGTGGGAGCCATCTGACCTACACAATTTTTTTCAATCAGTATGGCCAAAGACGTTTAAATTTCAGCTGTTTTCTGTTTAAAAGTGGGCTTACTTTTTTGGTATTTAATTTTTGAAATGTAATATTTCATTATTAAAATAACGATATAATTACATTAATTACATTACTATTTATATTGTTTGTAAGCTCTCTCTAAAAAAAAAACAAAACAAAAAAACCCCCCCCCCCCCCCCCCCCCCCAAAAAAAAAACCAAAAAAACCCCTGTTTATTTGCTGTATGAACAAAAGCTGTCGGAGGACAGCAATGCTCGACTATTCAATAGAGTTGTCATAAGGATGTTTTATTGAGTATAAAAAGGGGCATAAATATGTAAATAAGTAAATCAGAGTTGTGGGACCTGTGTCAATCATGTTAAAAAATCACAGTGAAAATGTATGCTAAGTTTCATTCCATTCCCTTCAGTAGTTAGGGAGATACCAGCTTACAAGCAAAAAGATTACCATGACTTCATTGAGTATAAAAAGCGGCATAACTTTGGAAATAAGCAAATCAGAGCTGTCTCGACAATTAGAACAGTTATCAAAATAATGGCATTGGACTAATGGAAAGGACAGAGATTGAATACAGGTCTACCTTTTGACAGAGATATGTATAAATTACATGTAAACATTAACCAAGAGACTAAGTAAAAAAAAGGGGAGATAAATCAGCCTAAATACATGACATAGATATGAGTGCTGATCAGTGATCATTATTTATGACCACAAATATACATATGAAGTTTAAAGTTTGTATCTTTAATAATTGCAGAGATATGCAAAACTTGCATGTAAAACTTACCTAAGAAAAGGAGAATTTTTTTATTACAAAAGATAGCATAATTCAGTAAAAAACATGGCAGAGTTATGGTTCTTGAGATGTGACCTTCAATTATGACCCTAAGTACATCTGTATAGTTTCAAGTAAACATTTTTGTTAGTTCTTAAGACCTTTAACCTTTAACCAAAATTTCTAAGTTTCAAAGGGGCATAATTCTGCAAATATCGTAGGCAGAGTTATGCAACTTTGCAAACTGATGAACATTGTTACTATAAAAATGTATTGTAAATTTCAATTGAATATCTCAAGCAATAATTGAGATTTTTGACTTTACAAAAAACTTTAACCAAAATTTCTAAGTTAAAAATGGGCATAATTCTGTATATATTGTAGGCAGAGTTATCCAATTTGTCAATCTGATGTACATTGTTACCATAAATAAGTATTGTAAGTTTCAATTGCAATAATTGAGATATTTGAATTTACAACGCAGACGCCGACGCCGGGGAGACTGCAATAGCTCTCCATATTTTTCGAATAGTCGAGCTAAAAATGAAGTTTGACTGACAAGAGAAAAGAATTCAAATTTGACCATAAATTTGTATATTACATTCCCAAAATAGATGACAATGTGTTTCTAAACTACTGCAGCAAAAGTCACACAGATTCGAATTGCATAGATTGTATTTGAAAAGCATAGTGTTTGTTGCAATAAGTCTATGGAGAAACTTGTACTGAAACTTTCTTAATGTCACATCTATAGTACTTTGTAGTGGTATCGTATATATCTTATTCTAATTCATTTCTATATCTTCCCGTAAAAGTCTGTGCTCTTCATTTTCTCATAATTTTAAAGTTGAATATAACATGAAAGTTTATTTATCAATTTTATTGAAAAGCGTATCTTATTTTTCCATATAAGTTGTGTTGTTTTTTTAGTTTCTCAAGGTGTTGTTTTGGTATATTGTTTATTAGCATAAAGTATCTTAAATAATCAGCATTTTCTATTCCGTAAATGTTTTTAAAATCATCATATTTATAAAAGGCTTTTCTCCTTTAATCATAAAGATGTTCTATATAAAGTATGTCTTTATCATGTCATGTTTTATAGTAAACATTGAGACTGTTTTAAGCAATTCGAAAAATCTTGAGGTTTAGGTTCTAAATTTATGTTTGAATTATTCTTGTAATCTGACGAAAATAAAAGGCTTTATGTTTTTGCTGAATCATGTGTCCACTTGATTTTTCTATTTCTACAATATTCTATGTAAGTATCTTTAAATGACCCGACTCGTAATTTTGAGATTTTTTTAATTAAGGTTTAAACCGGAAACTTTACTTAATTCTGTTATCACATAGACATTTTTTCGAAAGACTTCACTGAAACGTCATTTACGAAAGTTGCATCATCTGCAAAGAAGGATTGTTTTATATCTTTGTGCTCGACTTTATTTCCCTTTATTTCACTATCTTTTTCATACGATAAATAATAATAAAGTCGCACATGGCCACATTATATGGAACATTCTATATAAGTAAAGGGAAACCCATTTGAGTCACACATGGCATCAATATATTGAACATAATGTTTAAGTAAGGGAAATGTATTTGAGTCTTACTTTAATAGGCTTACTTATTTATAATGTTGGTCATGTGTGACTCAAATAGATTTCCCTTACTTAAACTTTATGTTCCATATATTTTGGCCTTGTGTGACTCAATTACGTTTCTCTTACTTATGTAATGTTGTTTATACTGTTGCCATGTGTTACTTTATAAGGCCTTTACTTATATATAATGTTCCATATACTGTGGCCATGTATGATTCAAATAGGTTTCCCTTACTTAAATATTATTTTCCATTTATTGTGGACATATTTGACTTAATTATGTTTCCAACACATATATTTTAAATAAATCACTGTGGCCGTGTGTGACCTTATTAGGCTACCCTTACTTATATATAATGTTCCATTTTTTTGTGGCCATGTGTGTCTCAAATAGATTGTTCTTACTTTTGTAGAATGTTCTATATACTGGAGTCATGTGTAACTTTAATAGGCTATCTTTACTTATATTTAATGTTCCATATAATGTGGCCATGTGTGACTCAAATAGGTTTGCCTTACTTGTATAGTATGTTTCATATTCTAAATTTCGTTTGATGTGTCCATTTGTGATTCTAATAGGTTACCAACACATATATTTTTAGTTTTATTTACTGTGGCCATGTGTGACTTTAACAGGCTACCATTACCCGTATTTTAAGTTTTATATACTGTGCCCATTGTGATTGTAACAGTATAGTATGGTCATAAATTAACTAAATAAAATACCAATTGGGTATTAAAAATGCCATAATATCTGTTCAATTTATGGAAATAACGTTTTTAAGCTCCCGATGATATTTAGAGGGAAAAAATTGTTTTGGTAAAACAGTGGTCATTAGCCTCGACGTGATCTAAGGAAATTAGTCGCTTCCTCCCAGCCACCTTGTTTGCAGTAAAATGTTTGACCCAAAGATATCCGAATGAACATAATTGTATGACCAATCAGCACTTGTCAAATGACCTCTGCACCGAACAGAATATTATCTGAACTAAAAATAATGACAGTTTGTGTTCACTACTAAACATAATGACCTCTGCACCGAACAGTATATATTCTGAACTGATCATAATGACGGTATCACACAACAGTTTGTGTTCACTACTGAACATAATGACCTCTGCACCGAACACTATATCATCTGAACTGAACATAATGACGGTATCACACAATGGTTTGTGTTCACTACTGAACATAATGACCTCTGCACCGAAAAGTATATCATCTAAATGATAGTACCAAGAAACCGTTCTTTTTAATAACTGAACATAACGGCCTTTGCAGCGAACAACACATTGACTTGACTGAAGAAGATATTATCAGCACACAAAATAATAATATTACAATTCAACAGTTCTATTTCACGACTGAACAGAATGAATAAAGCACCTAACAGCATGTCATTGAAACTGAAAATAATAAAAGTATCACCAAATAATACACTGCCTCAACCAAACAAAATGATAGTACCACTCAACTGTTTATTTTCATGGTTGAGCATAATGAGAATAGCACCAAACAGCATTAGTATTACCGAACATAATAACTGTAACACCTCATATTATATCTTTTTAACTCGTCATAATTGTGTTACCACATGCCTGTTTGTTTTAAGAACTGAACATAACGACTAATGCACCCGACAATACATTGACTTGACTGAAGAAAATGTAATCAGCACACAACACAACACTTCAATAACTGAGCACATTGGGATTTCCACCAAACATATTGGGATTTCCAACCAGCATATTGTATCTCAGACTCAAGAGAACGACATTTACCCAGGTATATCAGTCATTCTTAACATAAGACAGTCCAGGCGTTCAAACTAATTATAGTTGGCAAAACTTTTTATGCGATTTGAAATAGTTTTTGTTGCTAATTTATAATCCACGTTAAGCAAACATATTGGTCTCCAGTTTGATATGTTTGTAAGATCTTTTTCTGGCTTTGGTATAAGAGATATAATTCCTCGTCTTTGACGATTTGTTAATTTTGATATTTGAAAAGAGTAATTAATTTAACCAAGAAAATATTTTTCTATTCTAAAATGTCTTGTAAAATTCGACGGTTAAACCATCAGATCCTTGACTTTTGTTGTTTTTTTTTTATTTCTGATAAAGCTATTTTACATTCATATTCATTCAATATACCTTCACATAAATTATGTTCTTTTCTTCTTCACTGAATGATTAAATGTCTGTATTAAAAAATTAAGAGTGTATATATGTTCATCTAGTAATTAACCAAAGCTCAAGTGAAACGGTCGTGTAGTCTGCAAATTAAAATAATTTATGTTCAATATCGATGATTGCAATTCCTTTAATTTTTGTTTTGACGGATATTTTTACACTTAGGATGAATATGTAACAACTTAAAGGGTCTCCTTGACGATAACTCCTTTGAATTTTCATTACGTGGAAGAGAGAACCACACCGAGTTCATGTTTATACTATACTTGTATATTTAATCTCTAAATATCGCTCCGAAATTGAATAAGGTTGGAAGTTTGTTGCACAAAATACCAAGGTAATGAGTCATATGATTTTGAAGACAAATATAGCTGTAATATCTTTTTTATGTGTAGTTTATACTATATATATAGACTTTTAATAAGTAATCTACCTGTAATAAAACAGATGTGTGAAGTTGGCATAATAAAACAGGTTTTGTCGTTTCTCACTATCTTTATAAAAATTCGCTATGCAACCGGACATACTTTAAAAGAGTAATCTGTTACCAGTTTGTGTAAGGGACAAAGACCCAGCCGAAAAAGTATGTTTTAAGGCTCTACACACAACATACCAATGCAATTCCAAAACACTTAATTGAAGTTTGAATTAAAGCCAGAAGCTCAAGGACTTTTATTATTTGAATTTTCAACTTCATGAAGAGTGAATAGAAATCAACTGCATAGAAATTTCATTATTCTCCATATGAATGAACTAATCTTGAACAATCACGCTCCCGAAAATGTTGAATGACAAGATTTAAATAAACATGTATCAAATTTTGACGTCATTCTTTGAAAATTCTGGATAGTTTGTAAATAAAAACATACTTATGATCATTTAACAGTTTAAACTGGTTTGCGTTTGCTTTAATAAATAATTCATTGCAAAAGATAATTTTCGGGCACTGACCTTGCCGGAGGACTTGATTCCCTTCATCAAACAGAAGAAGATGAGTACCCAGGCAAAGAATAAACATATCACATTTTTCAAGCTGATGCCATTAATGTTGTCGATACCGTCGGATTCATGAAGCCGTAAAACGAACCGGCTGAAAATGAGAAAATAGTTTTACAACAACACTTTACTATTAAGAATTTCCTATGTTTGATGTTCCGTGTTTGTATAACGACCGTTTAGATGTTATAAAACAAGTTGATAAATATAATTATCATAAGAGCATAGTTAGTGTAATTTTTTAACAATTTTACCTCCAATATTCATCACTAGGAAGCTTCAAATCACGTTCGCAACTTGTTAAGTTTTTAAGCGTTTCGTAACCAAGTGTGTATAACTCATTAGCAACAGGCACAACGTTATATTTTGACATCACTGTTTTGTTAACGCATGACATATCCATCATTTCTGGAAATCAAATAAACAAATACACTAAATACTAATATGTCATTTTAAATTTATAAAATACTGATAGTGCCGGACAATTGCAATACACATATACATGTTTTATTAATAGTAAAGTCACCACTTGATCTTTAAAGAAGAAGAAACAATAACAACAACGGCAACAGCAACAAAAATCAACCACCACATTTATATACATATTTTTCCAATGTAGCCCTATACGCGAACAAAAATTGTCGGACATATTTTCATCAAAATATTGCTGGATAGATAATTTTTGCAATGAGAACAGAGTATAAGATCTACAATGACAAGTTATATTATAATCGACAAATATTTACATACAATATGGTATATGTATATGTTGTTTTTCTAATATTGAAAGATAAAACGAAAAAATAGCAAACATAATTAGCGGTGACACAATGTTACCGTAAACAAATGTCACGTGCTCACCCACTGCTGTTGATCAACTAAATACTAAAGTTAAATGATAAAATCATCATTCTGTTAACAATAATTTGTTTTGAGTATGTCGTTAATATCTTTGTCCAGCATTAATGCACCACATTATGCAAATCATTCTTGATATGTGTTTTCTACTAAAATACAATATCCCACCCACCTTCAACAATATTTTTAATTTTTAGGGGATAACCTGAATAATTTAAAACCCAAAACTAAAATATATGAATTATATATATTTTCTTTCCTTTTAAAGAAATTATATTTGAATATTATTAAATGCCCTTTAGACAAAAAGCTATAAATCAGTCGTACGTAATATTTCAATGACTTAATAATATTACGAATAGTTTAGGTATTTAAAGAATCAAGGTTCTTACTTAGGAGTTCGTCCACTTTAGTGGTATTATCTAGGCTAGGAAAATCTGGGTAAGGTTCCTTCCTGCAGTTTGGCGTGTTCCATGGATTGTCACAGTCTATCCACGGCACCTCTCCATCCAAGTTGACGAACGAGACAAACATGTAGTAGATGGCATACATGATGATGACGTTATAGTAGACGCTTACTAGAGCACTTATAGTCACCATACCCCATCCAATACCTTCACAAAACAAAATGTAAATATATCGTGAGCATTTTGTGTTTATCAAGTAAGCTATATACACATACACAGTTCATTTACATTTTAATTGACAAATAATGCATTTTGAGTAGATGGTATTGAGTAACAGAACGAACTGCAAACCATTTCACAAAGGTTTTCCTTTGCAACTTCGGTTTATTCCTTTCAAACAATAGACGATTAGTTGCACAGAGCAAATAACTACAATAATAATCTATTTGTATTATAGTTTGGTGACCTTTCTGTTGAAAATGTGTCAGTGTTAAATCGTATACATATACATGCACAGTGCGTTAACTGGAGTGCAGGTATTAATTAGTCCCACACTCCAGAGAATGCCCATTGATTGGCTCATTTTTGCTTGGGTTTACTTATTTTGACGGCAGAGAAAGGAAAAGCGACATAAATAACATATTCAGATGCCCGGTCATTGGTTCCTTTTTTCATGGGTTTCATATTGTGAAACAGGGAACGTGTTTTTTATGTTTGACTATGATGCAAAAGAGAAAGAACATCAAAACACTCGGCAATCTGATTAATACTCGGGGGCTACGCCCCCTCGTACAAATCAGATAGCCTCGTGGTTTGATGCTCTTTCTATTACTTATTCTGTATAGGTTAAAAAGCAAGGCCCTTAAAGAAACGCTATTTCAACGAATTGCTCATAGGCCATTTACTTTTTAAAAAAATATTATAAATAATTGTCGGAGAAAAATATAAATAACCAAACATCACGGTAAGGGGTTTGGTGAACCCCATATGGGTCTCAAGAATGAGCATCGGTAAAAAAGATATGTGAATTTCCGCTGATCCAGATGTGCAGTAAAACAGAGAAACTAGGTCAATCAAGGGGTAAGATTTCAACTTTTAAACATTTATGCAAAATCTAAACCTTATTATAAAATAAATCGGCCGTCCTATTTTTTCTCAATATTTACCGAATTTGTATCGGATTTTAATCAGTCTCTGTGGAGATATTCTTTTCGTCGTGGGTCCAAAATATGCGATATGTATTACGAAAATGTCACTAAACGGACTCAAAATGCAGAGGTTTTGCGAAATCTTACCACCGGACGATGCTTAACTTTTAAAAAAACCTTTATTGAAACATTTATTGAGATTTGGCTCAGAATAAAGGAATCGCTGGTCCAAAGTCAAGTCGAGCTTCAAATATGCCAAAGAAACCCATATGTTGCAAACCATCTACAAAACTACGGATCACTTTCATATAAACATTAAAAGCCAAATCTAAAGGAACAATAAAGGTGTCGTAGCTTTTGGTGAAAGTACATGTCCATGTGTTTTATAATTAAATATCATTACATCTATAGGCTATGTTTTGCTAGCATTAGAAATACTCATTTATATGAGAGTATGACGCAGAGAATACTGCTCGCATAATGAAAAAAATGAGAAAACTTAACTTGGAAAATCCAAACTGTTATATATTAAACAGCTGACAGATGAAAGTGACCAAATCTTTGTAAAGCTATCGTATCATATATTTTCCCATAAAATGATTTAAATTCATATAGATAAACATCGCTTCAAGTTTCAAAAGTGAATTAAAAAGAATTTCACTTACAAGCACAATATTTTTTTATTGATTGTCATGCAGTGAAATGCAAGTAAACCTCGTCATAAAAATGTCCTAAAAGAAATATTCTACTCTCCTGTCGAGTAAACAACGCGAAATCAAATGACTACAGCTATGAAAGTGGTAATTGAATCAACATATAAACGTATCGATTAGATATACTATTATTTGTAGTGATTTATATTGACTTATTCTTTAACAAAATAAAGGTACTCTTTGGCGACTTCGATCCGTTCCAAATACTAATACTGTACTGTACTGTACTGTACTGTACTGTACTGACAGGGGTCTCAATCTTAACCGTTCTACGTCGGCATAAGTGACGATATAGAAACACCCATACGTAAACGTTTTAAACTAATCATGGACTTCCCACCATATCTGTAATCAATACCTTAAGTATGCTGAATGTCTTTTATTTTTTTATGGATATTTTATTTAAGCTTAAGCTAGACTTTATTTAAGTTTAAGCTAGACTTGGGAAAATCTGTTTATTTCGGATATTAGTTTTGATTATAGAATGATACACAACAAAATAAAGCATAGATTGTTTTATGGAAATGATCCGTAATTATGTCGATGATTTTTGTATTTTCTGATCGCAGATCAGGACATTCAATATCAGGAACAATCCCGACAATTCTAACAACAAAAAGTAGTTCTCAAAAGAGCTTAAAACTAGCGATGTAAAAGAAAGAAATATTTTTTATTTTGTTACAAGTATCCAACAAATTACAATTAATAGACTTGTCAATAAATGCAAAATAAAAAAATACGCGGATGAATATCATTTTAATCAATGAAAATTGCTCGGCTATTTCCGTAAAGCTTGGGGTTATTGTAATCGGAATTAAACGCCCCTAAATGAACATTTGTAATTTAGACTTTCTGAAAAATGAAGTAAGGATGTTGACTCTAGAACAGGAACGAATTTAGGGCAGTCGACGATCGATAATCAATTTCTACCACGTAACAAAATGCTATTTTTAGCGCTGTCGATTTCCGAAGACTTCTGCGCGTATCACACAAATAGATCTGACTCTCGAGTGGTGAAATATATACATGTCAGACTGTTTGGGCGAGAAGATTTTAGCTAAGTCATTAACATCAGTGATAAACAACAGGTTTACCTAGAAATAAATAAGAATTACAAACCATAATTTGAAATTCTAAATTTAGAATAATATGGTTTTATTTTATAACATCACCGTGGCCCAGTGGTTCCACGCGCTCGTTTAAATTGTGTCTGGAGTCTGGAGTTCAAATCCCAGTCGTGGCAACTAATTTTTTTGAGGGGCTTTTTAACGATTTTAACATTCTTTCGTAGGTATTAGCCAGGATATGCAAGGATAAAGTGTGGCTTTTATAAAAACAAGAGCTGTCACAGGAGACAACGAAGCTCGACTAATTAAAAACTGGACACAGTAAGAAAGACAAAACTATGAATAAAAATCAGTTATGATAAACATATTTCTTCTTATGAAAAGAAGATATTGTTGTTAACATAATTCCAAGTTCAAGGGGGGGTGGGGGAATTCTGGAAATAGTCACACTAGAGTTATGGACTTTAACAAACATGTGTGTAATGATAGGAAATATATATTAATTTTGAAGTTTGAAGTAGATACCTTAAAAAGTAAAGACGTTATAATATTTCTTAAAGAAATTTCCAACTTCAAAGGGAGATAAATCTGAGAACATTGCTTCAAGAGTTATGAACCTTGTCACATCAGATCTGGTTGATGATAAGGAATATGTATTTGAAGTTTGAGGTAGATACCTTTAAAAAATAGCATTTTTTGAGTAAAAAAATCTAAGTTAACGGGGAAATAATTGTGAAAATATTGGTGCTAGAGTTATGAGCCTTGTCACATAAGATGTGGTTAAGGATAAGGAACATATATTTGAAGTATTAAGTTGATCCCTTAAGAAATAAAGAAGTTACAGTAAAAAAAAATATTTTTAAGGACAATTCAAGTGGAGTTAAATCTGAAAAAATATTGGTGCTAGAGTTATGAGCCTTGTCACGTTAGATGTGGTTGATGATAAAGAACATATATTTGAAGTTTGAAGTTGATACCTTAAGAAATGAAATGGTTATAGTGAAAAATATTTTACTGCACCAAAACTTTAATCTGAAATCTGGACGCGGACGCCGACGCCGTGGTGAGTAGGACAGCTCTCCATATACTTCGTATAGTCGAGCTAAAATGAACATAAATGATTTCATGATGCAACTTGCAAAATTCCGTATGTATCAAACTCAAACTGTTATAGCAAAAAATCTAAATGCAGTCGTAGCAACTCGGTGCCCTGCAAGATGAATTTTAGTATTTCAAAATAAACTTATACTGGAAAATACACACAGATATACAGATCAAAAAATACCACCGAGCTTTCAGACCTTTGATTGTATTATGAACCTATGGATATCTTCTTTCACTTGTGTATTACAGAACACTTTTTTTAGATAAAGCCTATGCAGAAATCTTTCAAATTGTAATGTCATGAAAGAAAAAAATGTAGCTATATACAACAGAAAATTCAAGTATCATGGTTTAATTTCATCTTGTGGTATGAAAATGATCATATTTCACTAATAGCTACAGCCACTTATGAACTATTTATTTTCATACCACTCGATGAAAGTAAATCCTGCATTAAGAGAAAACAACACACTTAAATATCCTCTATATATTTGTGTAGATTCAATGCTAAATTTCTTGAACTCGTTGAATAAATTAACCCACATTAGTTCAAAAGCAAGAAAAAATATGCCTACAATCTATTTCCCTATCAAACAGAAATACCAGTCAAGTGCACTATTATAGTTACGATAATAAACGAATGCTTACACGTTATATGACGTCATATTTAACGTCAATAAACCAAATGACGGAAGGAATGACGTCTACGCTCAAAGCAGTTCAAATTATGTTTATTAAATCTCTTTTACTCCCTCAATTAGTGTATAGTCATGCGCATATGAACTCGAACCGTGCATTATTCTATATTTTAACAGGATATAGAACCATGAAGGACCTGATCTATTTTTAGACATGTGACATAACCATTAAAATTTATGTGGCGACAAGGCCGAGTGGTTAACGCGTCGGACTAGTAATGTTATGATCGCTAGCCGCACGGGTTCAATCCCGGTCATGGGCAAGTCGTTGTTTCCACGAGCAAGAAACTTGACACTCATTGCTGGTAAATTGTTTCCAGGAACGGATTCGAAAGTGTGTCTATAAGTTTAAAGCTTTCTACACAATCGAACTAAAATAAATTCTGTATAAACCAACCATTAAAATTGCGACGCGACGAAAATAAATGGCTTACAGGTACAGCAGCATTTATAAATTGATGTCGTGTTAGAATCGAAATAATATATCCCTAGCATTGATTTTATCGCATGACGCTACGCCTTCGTGATATAATTCTTTGCATCCAAACTCCTAACAGTGATTTGTTTTAGATATAAAATCACTTTTGGGGATATAGTATTTTTCTAAACAACGCGCTTCAATTCAAAATCTAACGTCGTTGCCGTAGTCTAACAGTCGTAATAGTCGTAGAAGTTGTGCCCGTACTCGTAGTATAGTAGTTTAGTACTTGTGGTGGTCCTGAATGTTGTAGCTATATTGGTCATCGTAGATGTCTAGAATACTAATGGTTGAGGTTGTTGTCATCATTTATAACGTAAAGAAGTAGTCGTTTTCGTTGTAGTTGTAGTCATAGCTGTACATGTATTTATTATAGATGTAGGCGTAATTGCCGTTGCATTCGTCGTGGTCGAAGCGTAAAAATCTTAGTCGATGGCGTAGACGTAGGCGTGGTCGTAGCCTGGATAAAAACGTGATGACGATCACCATTTTGGTCATCTTACAAAAATGAGCTACATACGGTGATATGCAGCATGTTGACGTATATAGCTAACGGTTAGCTGTGTTTGGTGTGAGCTGTATACGGTGTTACAGTCAACGTATACAGCCCACGTGCCAGCTATATACAGCGTAAGCTGTATACGGTGCATCAATGCAAATCAAACCGATCAGAGCGCTTATATTAATTATGCAAGTAAGATAAACATTAACAAAGATTGTAAATGTGCAATTTATATTACGTGCAAGGTTGTAAACAATATCAAATGCAAGATTGTAAAAATAAACAAATACCGTAGGCCAATGGATTTACTTTCCACACTGTTATTGGACCCTCAGATGCGAATTGTCCAATAGCCAGTTCAAAGAAGAACGATGGTAATCCAGCAATGAGTAACATTATGACATAAGGTACCAAAAACGCCCCTGAATGAAATAAACATTAATGCTATGACATCAATGACATATAGAACAAAAGAAAGAACACATTCACAAAAAATTACCGTAAAACAATGGATTCACTTTCCATACTGTAATTGGTCCCTCAGACGAAAACTGGCCGACGGCAAGTTCGAAGAAAAATATTGGTAATCCACATACCAGCAACATAATAACATAAGGAATTAAAAATGCGCCTGAAAACAAAAATATAACATATATTTAAGCGAATGAAATTTCATACAACATGTATACCATAGAGTGCATGTTAATTGTACATTTTTTTCAATTTTATTAAAGATGTTATTGAATATTCATTTTTGTATTTTCTGATCGCAAGATCAGTAAATACAAAGCTAACATCCACGGTCTAACACAAAATTTCCTAACAGACCTAACAACGCAAAGTAGTTCTCACTAAGAACTGCTTAAAAACCAGCAATTTAAAAGAAAGAATAATTTTTAATGTAGGCAGTTAACGAATTACAGTGCATTAAAAGTTTAGAGCAGTCAATAGAAATATGAGGTAACAATCACAAATTTCGCGGATGAATATATTTTTACCCAATGAAAAATGTTCGGCTATTTCCGTAAAGCTTATTCAATGAAAATGCTATTTTTAGCTTTGTCAATTACCGAATACTCCAGAGCGTAGTACACAAATAAATCTGACTGTCGAGTAGTGGAATATAAACATGTCGTACTGTTTTGTCGCTAAATTATTTTCATCAGTGGTAAACAACAGGTTTATCGTGAACAAAATACCTTGAAATTAGTAAGGATTACAAACACGAAATGGAAATTCTCAAATTAGATTTACAATGTAATTGTTTTTATTCAAGCTACATATGCATTACTTCACCGTGGTGCAGAGGTAGCGCGCTCGTTTAGGGTGTGAGAGACCTAAGGTTCAAATCCTAGTCGAGGCAACTTTTTTTGAAGTGTCCTTTTTAAGGAAGTAGCCACGATTTGCAAGGATAAAGTGTGGCTGTCATAAAAAATGAAAAATGATTTTTTGATGCAACTCTAGTCGTGCAAAATTCCATATGTATCAATCTCAAACTGTTATAGACGCAGTCGCTGCGTAAGATTAATTATAGTATATAAAAATAAACTTATACAGGAAAATACATACAGATAGTCAGTATGATTTAGATTGCAAAGATCAGAAAATACCACAGAGGTTGCAGCCCTTTGATTGTAATATTTAAATCGGATCTTTTCTTTCTAAAACTGATATTCATTTTTTTCTTGTTTGAAAAACAACAACAAAACCAAACAATTGTACCCGTTAATATGTCAATCTACGTACCTTGACATTATCTAGCTTAAATGAAGGCAATTATTTTATAATACTTTTTTATTTGTATATAAATTGCCTTGTTTGTTTTATGCACGAGCAGATTACAAGATCAATAACTGAAAACAATAAATAAGTTAGCCGTTTAGGTGACAAAAATTTCGTGTATGGGGTTAAACGCACTTAGTTCTGCTTAAATACTGAGTACTGACTTATTTTCGATCTGTACCTTGAAATATGAATTTAATATTCAAAATGAGTTCAAAGTAACAGTCGATACTTAGATACATCACTGTGCAATCAAACAATATTACTTATTGCCATTTAAAATTCTAATGTAGCAGTAATTAAAAAAATGTTTTTGTTTCTTATTAAATGTAGGTGAGAAATATTTAATGAAATTTATCACTTAAAATATCACAAAATTGTGACTATTTAACAAACTACTAAAATTTCAACTGTACATTGTATTCCTAAAACTAACAAATGTTCAACAAGAGCACCGCTAGGCGGAGCATTATATGCACGAAAGTGTTGTTTTTTTTAGTAAGGATGAAGCATTTGTAAGACATGTGAATTAAATAAAGTATTACCTCCTTCAAATAGCAATCCTCATATGAAGTTTGAATATTTTGGGCCAAATGGAACTTAAGTTATGCTCCGGAAACTGTTTTCAGTTTTAAAGTAATAATGACCTTGACCTATGACCTTGTGACCCCAGATTCAATAGGGGTCTTCTACTCAAAATGGAGAATCATCCTATGTAGTTTGAACACTGTGGGCCAAATGGAACTAAAGTTATGTTCTGGAAACTGTTTTCAGTTTTAAGGTAATAGTGACCTTGACCTTTGACCTCGTGACCCCAAAATCAATAGGGGTCTTTTACCCAATATGGACAATCATCCTATGAAGTTTGAATATTGTGGGCCAAATGGAACTTAAGTTATGCTCCGGAAACCGTTTTCAGTTTTAAGGTGATAGTGACTTTGACCTTGTGACCCCAAAATCAATAGGGATCTTTTACCCAATATGGACAATCATACTATGAAGTTTGAACACTGTGGGCCAAATGGAACTTAAGTTATGTACCGGAAACTGTTTTCAGTTTTAAGATAATAGTGACCTTGACCTTTGACCTTGTGATCCCAAAATCAATAGGGGGCTTTTACTCAATATAGACAATTATCCTATGAAGTTTGAACACTGTGGGCCAAATGTAACTTAAGTTATGCTCCGGAAACTGTTTTCAGTTTTAAGGTAATAGTGACCTTGACTTTGACCTTGTGACCCAAAATCAATAGGGGTCTTCTACCCAATATGGACAATCATCCTATGAAGTTTGAATATTGTGGGCCAAATGGAACTTAAGTTATGCTCCGGAAACCAAATTGCTAACGGACGGACGGACATACGGACGGACGGACGGACAGACAGACGGACGGACGCCAGGGGGTATAACATAATATGCCCCAAATTCTTTCGGGCATATAAAAAAGCATTCTGTTTTATTACCCCTCACTTTTTTCGTAATGTTAATTTCCCATAGGCCTCTGGGAGTTATTCTTATTGTTAATGCAAGTGTACCACGTGACTAAGAATGAGGTAACAGTATTTTCAACAGTATAAAATCTGGTCACGTGGTCTATTTTCTAAATAAAATGAAATAAAATGGCCGCCATTGTTTTCTCGATTCATTCTTATTTTCGACGATAGGGCATCACCAAAGTAACTATGACTCTCATAAAATTTAGTTCTTTGCACCTTTGAGTTCTTTTCGCGTATAAAATATCTTTTTGTTGAATAGTCAAAAAGTAAACATCCTTTTTCAACGGAAATAATTGTAATGTGTATAATTTTGTGTCAAACTGGAACATGCAGACGATTAAAGCATGCAACAAAGGATTATTTAACAATTTTAACCAGTGAAACGTTACAGATAGAGTTGGTGGACAGACATCTGTAGGATATCATAGTTATTTTCTAAATGCACTTTGTCAAAAACCATGCGAAGGATATTCTGGATACAGAATTAAGGATCAGATTTCACAGATCATATCCTTATAAATGGGTTAGTGTTTTGTTTTCTAAATAAAACACAGCTTATTGTATGTGACTGTAGATATCATCACTTGCTTACAGCAGCTTCTCAAGTAGGCCTATACAGTACACTTAAAACTTGCAAGGTAAGGACAGTTTAGTTATTGCTTCACTTGCTTTATTTTTGTTATAGTTAGATTTAGTTGACAAATTCAGATCATCATTTGTTCGGGGTAATAAAATAAATAACACATGGGTTTGTGGGTAACAGTAAAAATATCATCCCTCGTAAAAATACTGTTGTAACGCACTATGGGGCTGGACCCCAAGATACGTAACGCACTTTAGAGTTAAACTCAAAGTGCGTTTGACTCCCAAGTGCAGTGTTAAACTGTCGTGCAGAAAACGTTTCTGTATAAGTTGACTAATTGGTATTACATATCAATTTATTACACGTGCATATATATACTTTAAAGCACCATTTACCGGTATAAAACTTTATAGCACAAGGCTAGTTCATGCTCAATGTGTGTCTCTTTACAGCTCGAAATACAGATGTAACACTTTATAAGCAAGAATTACAGATGTAATACTGCTTAACATGTGTTTGTTATACTTCATAAAAAGTAATGATGTAACACCTGAAAGCACACATCGCAGGTAATTAATACACTTTCTATCACGAGATGCAGATGTTAAATCTTTAGCACGCGATACAGCTGTCACACTTTTAAAGAAAAAATTAAAGATTGATACTACAATACGGAATACAGATGTAACACTTTATAACAAAAATTGAAGATGTATAAAGTTTATAGCAAGAGTTCAAGAGTTAAAGATGTAATATTTCATAGCAAGGGTTTAAGTTGTAATACTTTATAGCAGGAGTTAAAGATATAATACTTTACAGCACGAGATACAGATGTTACACTTTACAGCACGATATATAGATGTTATACTTTACAGCACGAGATACAGATGTTACACTTTACAGCACGAGATACAGATGTTACACTTTACAGCACGAGATACAGATGTTACACTTTACAGCACGAGATACAGATGTTACACTTTTCAGCACGAGCTACAAATGTTATACTTTACAGCACGAGATACAGATGTTACACTTTTCAGCACGAGATACAGATGTTACACTTTACAGCACGAGATACAGATGTTACACTTTACAGCACGAGATACAGATGTTACACTTAACAGCACGAGATACAGATATTACACTTTAAATCACGAGATACAGTTGTTACACTTTACAGCGTTCACTTTACCAAGAGTTCATGTCTTATTTTACTTTTGACATGAAAGATAGCTTTGGCTTATAAATGAATTTTACCTCCTCCATTTCTGTAACAGAGATATGGGAATCTCCAGATGTTACCCAAACCTACAGCATACCCTATACATGACAACATGAAATCCAGTTTGCTGCTCCATGTCTCCCGAGCTATTTCCTGAAAAAATAAATCAAACATGCATTTCTAAGGGTTTTACAAAATATAATTATATTAAAAATTGTTTGTATGTTGAGGTCATCTGAAATAAGGATTTTTTAACAATCATTTCCACCGTGTATATCCAGTAACACAGGAATGTGCAAATAACGCAGGAATTGTGCAAAAGTAACGCAGAATTGTGTAATTTTGTGGCTAAAACGAGCACCGCGATAAGTAAATAGACTACATGGACTAATATTTGTTTTATTGTACACCAAATTGGAAGAAATAAGTTAGCGCATACGGTTGCTGAGACATTATACTTTTAACATCATCAAACATATTTCCATGAAAGTGTTTATTTTTCAAGATCATTCGTGAAAATGAAGACCTGACTACCGTTTTGATGACGATTTTTAGTTTCGTTGATATCTTTAAATACAATAACGTACATAATTATAACTTTATGATTTTTATATTCGGTGAACCTGAGACAATTTTCAAATCTACTGTCATATTACATTAAATTTAGCAGATAAAACGTAATTGAAAGCATTTTTACGAGGAAACGCCGAATTCGTGAATGAAGCACTGAAGCAACGGCGGTTATCTCATTTAAAGTAGCTAGCTTTCATCTATTGTTATACGACACTTGCAGTTTGACGAATGTCTTGGATATACAGAATATGAAAATGTAAAGTTTTAAATGTGTTAAATGTACATATTTATTTGACGCATTTATAACGGTAATCAGGTTGTCTTTCTCACGAATGATCTAATAAAGTAAACAAATTCATGAAAAAAAAATGTAATGCTGGTTAAAGTATAATGTAGTAGCAGCCGTATGCGTTAATTCATTTCTTTAAATTTGATTTAGAATAAAACATTTTGGTTCTTTTACTTACTGTGTTATGCGTTTTGCGATAGCGTTGGTTGTAACATAGCGTTGCACAGATTCGGCGTTACTTTTACGATAATTGCACATTCCATCGTTACTGGGTATACACGGTGATTTAAGCGTGTCTTATTCTAAATCCTGAATGTGTTATTTTCAAACTTGTTTGTGTTATAGAAATTTGTAGAAAGTAAGTATTTATTTTATTGTATCCGTTTACATGTAATAACCCTAATGTTAATTTCCCACAGGCCACTGGGAATTATTTATACTGCTAATGCAAGTGTACCATGTGACTAAGAAATTTGTACTTTTAACAGTATAAAATCTGGTCACATGGTCTATTTTCTTAAGAAAAGAAAGTAAAATCATCATAAAAATCATATCATGATATTGCTGACACATTGCAATAAGGCTTTTTTGACTATTTGGTTAATTCAAGGACATGCTTGATTTACAATTTGAATTTTGCTCCCACGAACTCAATTACTCGACGCCTCCACGCTTCAAGTGGCACGGTCCCGAGTTAAATACCATCACATTAGAAAAGGTGAACTATATAGTATACCTGCATTCAAGTCAAGCGGATAGAATATTTTTTCTATAATTTCATTTTGTATCTATCACTTGGCTGATTGAATTAACAAATATTATTGATATGTTTATGATAAAATTTATTACATGTATTCTGTTATTTTATTTTTTTAGCTCATTTTTAATACGAAGTCTATTTATCTATCAAGCATCATATTTTATATTCCTTTCATTTTATTCTTCATATATTCAAGCGTAACTATCGCGAAGTGCATATAGGTTACCAGATCAATCGAAAAGAACCTAAACCAACTTTTAAACAACAATTTATGGAAGTTTTTGGACTGTTTGCAAAACATCATTTATCAGTGTTGACGCGTGAAATTTCTTTGTCCGGATCGTAAATTAAATATAGAATGCATGGTGCATTGCCTTTAAATGTCGCAAATTAATGTACTCGCGTTTTCCTTGCCGGTAAATATTGCAGTGACAACAGCCCATAGTTAACAAGTAGCTATTGTTATTGTCATTTTGTGACAATATTATCGTTTCAGATTGGAAATGATTTGTTGTGATATCTAAAATAATTGGTTGAAACTGAACATTTTAGTCGTTATTATAAATTGACGACCATAATTTATGCCAAGGAGCCACATACTGCATTAAATTTTAAATGTATAATTAAAATGTAAAATGTTCATTTGTATAATGAATAATACACACACATGAAGACAACATATATCGTTTCAATACAAAAGTAATGTAATGCAACAAATTACTGTGTTTGTCGGTTTGTCTGTCATTTACCGTTTATCTCTCATTCTGTTCACTTGGCTGTTTATCTGCAAACACACAAGTTGACATTCGATACACACGTTCATCCCTCACGGTAAAAGTTGCTTACAGGGCGAAAGAATCTTGCATGCAACGTAAACACATATTTCTGTCCGTCTGTATTTTGGTTTATCTGTCTGTGCCCAAATAATTTTGATATTTTATGGTCGTTTGACTTCACTCTGAGATATTTGCTCTTTTGCGAGAACAATTGATTTTTGTCTGTTTGTCTGTCCGTTTTTTTTGACAGTCCTGACTTAATTTCATGAAAATTACGATATATGTTGTTAAAAGGGTTAGTGAATTCTGGGGTCTAAACGAGGAGATACTTACTGTTTTTGGATCGATGAGTCAAATTATTAAAAGTGTTTGAGAAATCTCTTAGGAGCTCTGTTGAATAAGCTAAGAAGTGAAAACTCTCATCGAGGGGAAATTCATTTTGATGCTCTATATGGAAGGATTCTTTTATGATGTTACAGTGCATGTCGTTAAATTACTATTTTAAGTATCTCCTCTTTAATCCTCTAGTTGTAATGTTTGTTTATACATATTAATATATAACATATTTATATTTCGGTTATGTAAACACATGAAAGTAGTAAGTACTTAAATTTCAATCAAGATGTCTACTATATTGTCTGAAAGTATTAACATTTTGCATACATTATCCGGTGGTTGTTCATACTATTTTAAGACAAGTATATCCTTAGTATTTCATTCCATTACAGTAACATGAGTAAGGTACTTAACGTTCGTTTGTGTCGCATTTGGTTTGTTTGTTAAAAATAGCCAAGTGACAATATTTTGCAGCTCGATTTTTGTGTTTTCAGTCGGAATATCACCTATTATTTTAAACACTAACAACGCACATTCTTTTCTTTTAGTACTTTCATATTTTCTTGTTTCTTTTATGTATGTGTTCTGTATTTTATTTCCTTTAAATTATTTATTTTTACTTTGACATATTACATCAATTCCAAATTATTTCAAACATGACATAGCAGTTCGGTTTCACTAGGCGTGTAGATGTTACTGCATTATATCACTGCCACATATATATTTATTGATAACCGTTTTAGATTATATCACTGCCACATATGTATGTATTGATAACCGTTTTAGATTATATCACTGCCACATATGTATGTATTGGTAAACGTTTTAGATTATATCACTGTCACATATGTATAACCTTTTTAGATAATATCACTGCCACATATGTATGATTATATCCGTTTTGAATTATATCACTGCCACATATGTATGTATTGATAACCGTTTTGAATTATATCACTGCCACATATGTATGCATTGATAACCATTTTAAATTATATCACTGTCACATATGTATAACCTTTTTAGATAATATCACTGCCACATATGTATGTATTGATAACCATTTTAGATAATATCACTGCCACATATGTATGTATTGATAACCTTTTTAGATAATATCACTGCCACATATGTATGTATTGATAACCGTTTTAGATTATATCACTGCCACATATGTATGTATTGATAACCATTTTAGATTATATCACTGCCACATATGTATGTATTGATAACCGTTTTAAATTATATCACTGCCACATATGTATGCATTGATAACCGTTTTAAATTATATCTCTGCCACATATGTATGCATTGATATCCGTTTTAAATTATATCACTGCCACATATGTATGCATTGATAACCATGTTGAATTATATTACTGCCACATATGTATGCATTGATAACCATGTTGAATTATATCTCTGCCACATATGTATGCATTGATAAACCGTTTTAAATTATATAACTGCCACAAAGGTATGTATTGATAACCATGTTAAATTATATCACTGCCACATATGTATGCATTGATAACCGTTTTAAATTATATCACTGCCATATATGTATGCCTTGATAACCGTTTTAAATTATATAACTGCCACATATGTATGCATTGATAACCGTTTTGAATTATATTACTGCCACATATGTATGTATTTATAACCGTTTTAAATTATATCACTGTCACATATGTATAACCTTTTTAGATAATATCACTGCCACATATGTATGTATTGATAACCGTTTTAGATTATATCACTGCCACATGTGTATGTATTGGTAAACGTTTTAAATTATATCACTGTCACATATGTATGTATTGATATCCGTTTTAAATTATATCACTGCCACATATGTATGTATTGATAACCGTTTTGAATTATATCACTGCCACATATGTATGTATTGATAACCGTTTTGAATTATATCACTGCCACATATGTATGCATTGATAACCGTTTTAAATTATATCACTGCCACATATGTATGCATTGATATCCGTTTTAAATTATATCACTGCCACATATGTATGTATTGATAACCGTTTTAAATTATATCACTGCCACATATGTATGTATTGATAACCGTTTTTAATTATATCACTGCCACATATGTATGTATTGATAACCGTTTTGAATTATATCACTGCCACATATGTATGCATTGATAACCGTTTTAAATTATATCACTGCCACATATGTATGCATTGATATCCGTTTTAAATTATATCACTGCCACATATGTATGCATTGATAACCATGTTGAATTATATTACTGCCACATATGTATGTATTGATAACCATCTTAGATTATATCACATCATGTATGCATTGATAACCGTTTTAAATTATATAACTGCCACAAAGGTATGTATTGATAACCATGTTAAATTATATCACTGCCACATATGTATGCATT